AACGGCAAACAACCTACAGTTCAGTGTCACTTTCATAATAATAACAAAGTCAAAGTACACACTTAAAAGTTAAATGTGAGGTACAGGACATCTACTGACTTTTTGAACTCTGCAGCGAGGTGCTGTGCGAGCTCATGTGTGAAGCTCTCTCCCCCCGTCCTGTGATCCGTCTGTGTGGCGAGGACCCGGTACATTCCACTGTTCACCTCCAGGACGGTGACGCTGAGCGACGTGCCTCCGAGTTTGTACACTAGCACATGACTGTGGTCCAAAAGAAAATTGGGAATGAGACTTTTGAGCCGAAAGAAACCATTCATCTGAGATAATGCAAAAAAAGTCTTACCTTTTTCCCAACGGTGAGTCCTGCCCGATTCCATAAGCTAGAAGCGCAGCGGAGGGTTCGTGGATCAGCCTCAGCACATTGAACCCGGCACTTTCTGCAGCTTGCCTACAACACAGCACCGATTCTTATAAAACATCTCCCTAGACACAGCTTCTGGAGTTAGATAACGGTTACATCATTTGAATTAATTTGCATTCATCTCAAAGTATACAATGTTTTACGGACACATCAAGCACATACCTGAGCGCATTCTTCTGCATCTCTCCGAACTCAAAAGGCACTGTTATGACAGCGTCTTTCATGTCCGAACCCAAGGCTGACTGGGCCGTCTCTGCAGGGAACATTAAATAATCATCACTAGTTCATGTTAAACATACTATGACATGAAATTAAGGATTCAAACAATACCTTTCATTTTATGGAAGATCAATTTAGCTACATCTTCAGGCGACACATACTTGGTTGTCTCTCCCGTGTCGATTTCATATCTGAGCAGGTCACTCTTGTTGACAACCTAGAAATTATGAAAATACACACCTTTTAAAAAAGCAGGTGGTTCAGATTTTATGGTTACTGTTGTGTTTTTTTTGTGTCAGTATTTAAGAACAACAGCATGTACTTACAATGCATTTGCTTTCTTCTCTGTGTGCCTGAGCATCTGGGTCATCATAGCTGTCAAATACCAATCAAAGTCGAACAAATTTTATATTATGATTATTTTTTATATAAATGTATTATTATTAAGTTATTGCTAATTTGACTGTAAATATTCTTAATAACCTTATGCACAATATGCAGTGATTTATCTACAGAACAGTCTAAGCACACAACATGAAAACCTACCATCTACCCAGGATCTGCTTCACTTTGACAACTGTATTGGTGGCATTTCGTATTCTGCCCTGCTTAGCGGCGATTCCCACTATCTAGAACAATAATTAAATTAAATAAAACCATTAGACTATCATATGCCCTGACGTTCTTGCTTCATTTATTAACATTTAAATTAAACAAAAAAATAAAAAAATGAATCAAGACGTCTTACAACACTTTAATATTTAATATTAAATATATATTAGTAGGATAAAATGAATAAAAACTTGTCAGACTGGTCTGTTGGCAGAATTTAGAGGAGTTTTGGTTTAGGCATGACCTCATCCATCTAAATCCAATCCCCAGCATTATTATATTATGTTATATACTAAATTTGTCCCATAAGGCAAATTATGGGGCAATAGCATCCAAACAACATAGCAATGCATGTACACTGCTATTATGAAAAATTAAGCTCACTATGCAATACAGAGACAGTACAATATACGCAATAAAGACACAGTATACATACTATTCACAGATATGTTTTGTAGTTATGAATTTAAGCTTTTATTTTACGGTTGATTCTTAATCTTATAGATGTTAAAGGCTCTCTGTTTTTGGTGCTGATGAGAGAGCTGTATAATGATCCTTGCCTGCAGTCTGATTCTCTAGATGTCCACCATGGAAAATTACCTGTTCAGTGTCTCTGTATGCGACCACAGCTGGAGTGACTCTGTCCCCCGCATCATTTGCCACAACATCTGCTCGCCCATCCTATATGAAAACAATTAACTTCCACTTATTATAAGCAGGTATGGTTTGTCTGTCACACCATTAACTATTCAGCAACATAAACAAGGTCTATTAGATATTTTATTTAGTCGCCGACATGTTTGCGTTTATTAAACAAAGTAAAATGATTTACACTCATAAACAATTCACCTTGAATACGGCAACACAGGCACATGTGTATCCAAAGTGCACCCCGATGGCAGCCATGCTTCCGAAGGAGTCTTCCGGAAGCCGGTCCTCATATGCAAATGAGAAGAGATGCTGTCAAATGATGGGCGGCGTTATTAGCCAATCAGTGCGCCACTGAACTGACGTCGACTGGAACGTCAAGAGAGCAGCGCCTGATTTAGAAACAGCTGAAAGCGGCGCCGGTGGGTGTTGCGTACTGGGTATTGAAGTTCACTTAAAAGTGCGCACAAGCGCCTTTTAAGTGCACAGAAGTCATGTCTTTAACCAACTCATTTGCCACCCCGTTACTTTTGCTTATATGTGTTGTTTTATTCTCAGTTACTGATGCAGAAGAATGCGAAGGTGAGGTTGGTCAGCTTGGCTTGCATCGCGCATGAGCCACTGAGTTTAAAAATAGTCACCTATGCTAGGTTATTTTGCACAAGCGCATGAGCGTTTTCACATAGTGAATATGAGATATACACTGTATGAAATCAATATTTAAGAGGTGAGTCCTGGTTTTGGATTGCAAACAGAAAACCCTTATTATTGTAATACTAAATATGGCTTGTGTGTTGTAATACAATCAATTTACAACTAGATGCTTATGTTTTGCATTATCATTACTAACAGTTATTATACAGGGTTTCTGGTTTCATGAGACTTTTATTAATACTTTATTAAGTAATTTAAAGACATATTTAAGACTAAGTAAGAAAATGTAAGGAATAAATTGAATGGAACACAACAGGTCAATATCGTCTCTAAATGTAAATGTATTAGCAACGCTTCAAAGAAAAAAATAACATATTTCCATTACTTTTTATTTTAACATAAATAAATAGCTTGAATACACTGCAAAAAGATGATGTTCTTAAAGATTATTAGCAAAATTACATAAAATAAGACATCTTGTTTCATGAGAAATTATGGCATGCATGCACTACAATTTCCAGTACAAATATCTAAACATCCCTAAATCAATATACACTTGAGATGCAAATTGAACATATACTGTAAAGTCTTGTTTTCTGAGACACTGATCAAAATTAATAGAATTTTTTATTAAAATAAGAGCAAACATCTGCAAATAGGCTGAGAACAAATCTACCTAATTCAAAGGGAAAATAAGTTTTCATTCCCCACTGACAGATGCTTGTTCATATTTTAAACAAACTCATTCAATTTTGTTCATTTTCTCAGAAAAAAATACTTTACATATTCAGTTTGCAGTCTGTAATGTTGCTGTTTGAGCATAAAAAAGATCTGCAAAGTTACAAAGCTCAAAGTGCACTTTAAAAGGAGATATTTTATTGAACAGAAATCACTTTTCAAAAACTACAATGAACAACTCGTTTGGACTACAATGCATATTTTCCGGGATTTGTGATATCACAAATACCAACGCATGGGACGAGACCTGGTTGAGCTGCACTAGAGAAGGCAACGAGTGTTATCACTATGTCGGAGACACGCTAGCTTTCTCAAGGCAGACGAACTTAGAGTGGTTACAATCATCCGGGTTTAAATCGCGCTCAAATTAATTTGATTTTGGCAATATTTACACTGAAGCTCGCAGGCGGCTATGGTAAGGGGCGTGACATTTCCCGACCAGACGCCCGAGTGCTGCCAATCACAACACGCACTGGCCCAGCTAACCAATCACAGCACATTTTGTATTTCAGAAGGCGGGCCTTCATTTGATACAGGAACTATTCGAGTCGTTCATGCCAGACTGGGGAGAGAGGTGTTGTAATAATGTAAAATATGTGAAAAATAATGTGTTTTTCGAACAACCTAGTATGAGAGCCTGTTCTAGTACACCCCCAAAATAAAATCAAGACTCTGTAAAAGAGCATAATAGGACCCCTTTAAGACATTTTTAAGAGCCACAGAAACCCTGTTATATAACTAACATCATATGAATTCACCCTCCAGTTTAAACCTCTGTTTATTTTGTATGTATCTGTTTTGCAGTGTGTGTAGGGTTTTTGGGCCGGCTTTATAACTCACTGGTGATCAGGCACACAGAATTGTCCCCAGAGCTGGTGGAGGAGGGTCTAATCAGAGCCTGCGCTGAGACTACTGGGAAAGAGAATCGACTTGTAAGAACATAAAAACAAGCACAGTTGGGTTCTTATTCTTCATGGTTGCTGGCCCATCTTTGAAAATATATAGAGATGTTATGAAAAAATATACTGAATATATGAGGTTGTGTACTTGTAATTCTCTCCCCTTTCACCTCAGTGTTATTACCTGGGAGCTTCCAGTGATGCTGCAGCCAAAGTGACAGGTGAGGTGAGCCGCCCCCTCAGTGCACATGTTCCTGTCTGCAAAATCTGCCAGAGACTTCAGCGCAGGGACGGCCAGATCTGCGAGCTCAGATATGGTAGGGTGTATTCACATATAAGAGTCCTGACACTGCATTAGAGGCTTTTAAATATTTGGAAATATTTCTCTCAAAGGTTTTAAAATGGACATTCTTGTTCTTCTGAAACAGAGCATCCTGTTCTCGACTGGAGCAGGGACGCTTTGTCTAAAATGCGAGTGTTGGAGCTGAAGAGAGTCTTGGCCTTGGGGGGGAGGAGTGCAGAGCCTGTCTGGAGAAGAGTGAATTTATTGATCTCATCCAGGAGGTGGCCCCCAAACACAGCACAGCACAGCAAAGAACACACTCGGAAGAGTTCTGAGGGCCTCCTTGTGCAGCTCTGTGCTGGGGAGACAGAGCTCTGATGAGAGGGCCTCCTTGTGCAGCTTCATGCTGGGGACATACTGCAGTGATGGGAGGGGCTGCACGTGCAGCTGCGCTCAGGGACACTTTTGATATTGCTCTGAGACTCCTTACTTATAATGCTTTTCATAATATTAGTTACGATTAGCCATGTGCAATTTCCCCAGTGTCTCATTCTCCTGTACCACTGTAAGCATTTTCTCCCGCACACTCAGAATAAATCATTAAGCTTTATTAGTTCTAGTACACCCCCAAAATAAAATCAAGACTCTGTAAAAGAGCATAATAGGACCCCTTTAAGACATTTTTAAGAGCCACAGAAACCCTGTTATATAACTAACATCATATGAATTCACCCTCCAGTTTAAACCTCTGTTTATTTTGTATGTATCTGTTTTGCAGTGTGTGTAGGGTTTTTGGGCCGGCTTTATAACTCACTGGTGATCAGGCACACAGAATTGTCCCCAGAGCTGGTGGAGGAGGGTCTAATCAGAGCCTGCGCTGAGACTACTGGGAAAGAGAATCGACTTGTAAGAACATAAAAACAAGCACAGTTGGGTTCTTATTCTTCATGGTTGCTGGCCCATCTTTGAAAATATATAGAGATGTTATGAAAAAATATACTGAATATATGAGGTTGTGTACTTGTAATTCTCTCCCCTTTCACCTCAGTGTTATTACCTGGGAGCTTCCAGTGATGCTGCAGCCAAAGTGACAGGTGAGGTGAGCCGCCCCCTCAGTGCACATGTTCCTGTCTGCAAAATCTGCCAGAGACTTCAGCGCAGGGACGGCCAGATCTGCGAGCTCAGATATGGTAGGGTGTATTCACATATAAGAGTCCTGACACTGCATTAGAGGCTTTTAAATATTTGGAAATATTTCTCTCAAAGGTTTTAAAATGGACATTCTTGTTCTTCTGAAACAGAGCATCCTGTTCTCGACTGGAGCAGGGACGCTTTGTCTAAAATGCGAGTGTTGGAGCTGAAGAGAGTCTTGGCCTTGGGGGGGAGGAGTGCAGAGCCTGTCTGGAGAAGAGTGAATTTATTGATCTCATCCAGGAGGTGGCCCCCAAACACAGCACAGCACAGCAAAGAACACACTCGGAAGAGTTCTGAGGGCCTCCTTGTGCAGCTCTGTGCTGGGGAGACAGAGCTCTGATGAGAGGGCCTCCTTGTGCAGCTTCATGCTGGGGACATACTGCAGTGATGGGAGGGGCTGCACGTGCAGCTGCGCTCAGGGACACTTTTGATATTGCTCTGAGACTCCTTACTTATAATGCTTTTCATAATATTAGTTACGATTAGCCATGTGCAATTTCCCCAGTGTCTCATTCTCCTGTACCACTGTAAGCATTTTCTCCCGCACACTCAGAATAAATCATTAAGCTTTATTAGTTTCAGTGATTAAGAGGTTCCTTGCAGAGATGCTGGCTGTTTTTTGTCCAGTCGTTTCATTTGGAAGGGACTAGAGCTTGTGTCGAGCTCTAAGACCACTTATCTCCTAATTCGTACTCCCCTTTAAGAGCCTTCTGTGTTTGCAGCTGTGGGTGAATTGCATGAAACCCAATAATTTCTCCAGATAATATTTTCATCGAAAATCAAAAGAAAGGAATAAAAAAAAAGATATACTTTGCATAAATAACAAAAAGTGAGGTCTGTTAGGACCATTAATTTATTTGTGCACTGTCATGACATTATGCACATTGCCCTTTTAATTCTCATTAGCATAGTGCAATCTAATGGAAAAAAAATCTAATTACTGAAATGCAAAAAAATATATATCTAAATCGTATAGGATTTATACATCATGGTAGCATTTGTTGTACTTCCTTTAATTTATGCTGATTAATACTGAATTAAATCAGGAAAAAATTATATCACAGTGAGAAACTACAGTAAAAACTTCATATTCATTAAATTTCATATACATGTCAAGTAACTTCTATTTTAAAATCATCATCTTTAATCACTTTTTAACTTTTTGCAGCTCTTAAATATTCTTCCGGAATGACAAAATTAATTAAATACAAATATTCCATGTAATCTCTTATTATGAGGATATAGAAATATCTGAATTTAGTCAGAGGATGTGCTTAATTGCCATGAAAATAATGCAAAAAAAAAAAAATTCTTAAAAAGTATACTTAATTTCTTTATGCAAAATATTTATTTTTGCATATAAAAAAATTCTTTATGCAAAATAATTTATTTTGTTTTTGAGGACACCGGACCTTTTGTGCATGTCAATTTCTACATCCAACTCAGTCTCAGTCTGTATCAAATCTGCGTGCATATTTCATAATTATATGTCACTACCCTGACCTCTCGTAAGGATCGTATTGTTGTGATGGTCTTGGACGTGGTGACTGTCGTGGACGCCCACGCAACCGTGCTGATGTTTACATCTGGCATGTTGCCATGGCGATCACGGAACCTTTCATCCGCTGCTTCTGATGCTACAGGATTTTGCTGACAAACTTTTTATGTCATAAAACAGAACCAATCAGCCACGAGACCATCGCGGGGCTCTTTCTCTCTCTTCTCCTCTCCTCTCTCTCCCCACCCCCCAGGCTTTCTCATTCACAATCCCCTTTTTTACCATCCAGTTCTGCTGTTCTCCTGTAATAGCTGTTGAGAGAGAGTGAGAAGAGAGAGAGACTGTGAGTGAGATTCAGGCCTTGCCCACGCAAAGAAGTGGGAGACTGAACCTCTCTATACTCTCTCTCTCGCGCGCGCGCGCACACACACACACACACACACACAGTCAGTGTATCATGCTTGCACTGTGTGGGCTGAGCTGAGCATTCCTGTCATACAGTAACAGTCTCTCTGCCTCCGCACTCTCTCTCTCTCTTTCCCTCTCTCTCCCTCTATTTCTCTTTCCCTTTCCCTCTATCTCTCCTTTTCTCCCTCTCTTCTCTTTCTCACACACATACGTTCCAAACACACACATTAACACACTTATACACTTTCACAGAGCAGAGACGGACCCTCGTAGAGGAAGTCGAGATGGTGTGGAATGTGTGCCCTGGTTTTATTAGGTAAGTTTTAATGATTTCCAACATATCCTTGGGTGAATTGTGTGCGTGTTAGGATGTTTAAATTACTTTGTTGGAAGATGAGAGTAATTTGTGTCTTTTCAGGCTCTCTGTGTGTCATGTTTAGTCAGCGCACCTCTGCAGATGCGGATATTTTCATTGGGCATCACTACAGGGATTACAGAACACTTTTTCCTAACAGGCAAAATGTGTGTGTGTGTTTGTGTGTTTGCATGCTGATGTGTGAATGAGGGTTACGTTCACTCTATATAAGTCTTCCTCAGGCAAAGCCAAATCTCTGATTTGCATAGAGTTGAATTTTGCAGAACAAACGAACGTCACCCCAGCCTTCTTACCTTCTTTACCTGTCGCTCTCTTACGTCCTAATTTCTGTCGTGACTGAGGCCAATCTATTCAGCCCTAACGCCCACACATTAAGCCATCACATTCTATGTTTCTTTTTCTTCATTTACTCTCTCTGCTTCTCAATCTCCCCTCTCTTTAAACATCTTTGTGGTGCTTGGTGCACGAGCGCGCCTTGAGTCTTTTGCACACCCGTCAGGAGGATGCTCGCTCCAGATTTATGCTTTGGCCCTTTAAAAGCAGGCAAAGTTTCCTGGTGAACCATTTTTCTGGTTGCCATAGTGATGAGCGAGGACTTGGAGAGGTGCAGTGGTACTAGGATGCAGTGACAGCTCTTAGCATGTGAATTCTCACACTGAGATATGGAGATGCACTGAGGCTCTGAACAGAGACGGCGATGAGGTGAGACGCCCACGCACACACACATCATTATTGCTCACAGCACTCTTTGGCTGATCATACTGTCCCTGGATCTGTATACCGAGGTGACAAGAGCCCCAAAGCGGGAGGAAACCATGTGGGGTTGAGTGAGGGAGAAAGAGGATTTGTGAGTGTTTGCGTGTGCAATGATGAATGTTGGAGAAACTGAGTGTGTAGTTACTCTAGGCAGAAGTTTTGCATTTAAGAGAATTTGAAATAGGGGATTGCTACTTTGAAACTTGACTTTAGGAGAATATAAGCCAAACTAAATGGACTTGCATTATTTTAAATGTGTTATTTAATATGCATTTAAAACTTTGAAACATTGCTTGAAATTGCATTCATTGCTCTAACCCCTCAGAAGGTCAGAAATATCTTAACTGAAGTCCTGGTGTAAAAGAAATGTAGGAAATAGGTTGTTGGCATGACATTTCAAGCATTTTGCTTCAATATGGTAGCTATACTTCAAATTTTGTATTCTTGCATAATTATTATGCATGACATTTCTGACATACCTTCAGTTTTTATAATTGAGATTGCATAGAATATTTATGCTTTTAGGATCTAAAAGTATATTTAAAATTTAAAAGTATATTCAAAAATAATTTGTCAAAGTACAAGACCGTTTAAATGAGCTGCAAAGGATTATTAAAAAATATTTAAAAAAACAATATGACGTCCACAAATATCCACAGATTTTGAAAAACTGTAATTAAATATGCAATTTAAACCAATAATTTTATAATAATCTGTCAAATAAGTAAATTACAGATTTACAGATGGTCACGTGTTCCTACACTGAAGCTCAAGATGCTCTGTGGATCATCTCAAATCATGCTGGAGAATATGATCATAAAGTTTGACACAAACAAAAGAACGACAAACTAAATACTAACACATTCTGAAATTCTCGCTAAAATAGTAATATTGATAATGTGTAATGGACAAAAACATTTTTAACTTTTAAATAAATAAAAATGCTGAATTTGTGCTGAATGCTGAAAAAAAAAAAAACTAATTTACATTATATTTGTCACACTACCCCAAATCCAAATGAATGCATTTCCTATATTTAAGAAGGAGATCTCAAAGATTTTAAGAACGGCTGCAGTCTTATAACTTCAGTCAAGTTCTTACCCACAGATCCAGACGTCAAGGTGTGGCTTATGTAACAGAAGCAGCACGCTCATGTGATTTCTCCTTGATCTGATGAAATCAAAAGGAAATGAAATCTATCAGGACTTTCTGCTGCTGTCATCTATCACAGCGCCTCATATGTGATTTCAAATATTGATATACTCAGCATTAAAGAACTATACTACAATATTAGTGCTATATCATACATTCTTGTAATTGCGTTAGAGGCCCTTCTAATATGCGGTGGAAATAGAAACGTTACTGTTCTGTAACTGCATGTGTGTGATATTTGTAGGAAGGAGTGTGGGTGTCAGTAGCTTTTATTCCTGTTCCACATTCATGTGTGTGAGATGAGTTTTTGTATCGCCTGAGGAAAGAGTGGAGTTATCAGAGGCATGCAGCCTTTCCTATACTTCCTGCAAAAACATCCCAAGGAGCCTCGGCCCAATCCAGCCAGGAAGAAGGGCAGGAAGTTGGGCTGAGGTCACGGGAAGTAAATTACAAAGCCAAAAGGGCATAGTATGAAAACAGGTCTAGTGGAAGTTTCTGGAGACCGTAACGGTGCTAGATTAAAGAAATGATAGTGGTGCTACGGATTTGTGTGTGTGCGTAAGTAGGAATATGTGGGAGTTGATTCTTTATTTAAAATTGATGGGATTATGAAGGCTTTTTTATTCCTTCATTCAGGCTGGCATCATATTTGTTGTGACCGCAACATGCTTTGATAAATGCATTATCCAACACCATGCATAAATAAAATCTCTTATTTATTTAATCAAAGCACATATAATCTCTTGTTGCTACATCTTATCCATTTTAAATTTACAGGGGCATTTGAACAGGCTGTATCGAGTGACATTAGGAATGACAGAGATGTTGATTACAACCAGAATGATTTCTTTAAGCGTAGCCTCACCTGAGGTGTTTATAGAGACGTTGGTGATTGGTCGAGATACTGAACCCTGGCTGCTTATTGGTGGAGGTCCTTGAACGATGCTTTTGGTTGGTTGAGATGGTTTGAGATGGTCTGGAGACCTTCCTGCTGTAATTTCCCCCCGGTTTTCCTGCTCGGGAATATTCAGCATCAGGGTTGGGCTTCAAGTGTCCTGAAATCTCAGACCTCGGAGGGAGTGCCGGGACATTCGGCCCTACTGTTTTACAAAAACAAAGTGTGCATTGTGGAATACTGGCAGAAAGCTGTTGGAATAAAGACGGAAAGCTCTGAAAAGTTTGAAATACCTGCGAATGTACAGGAACATCACATGGGAAGTCCAGGTCAAAGGTGAACTCCTCCTTGTTTCCAATATTTCTAGCTTGTTAGTGGTGTTTGCTAAATTAGTTTCAGTATTGCTATTGCTCATACTTACGGTTTGGGATTTTAACAAACTTCTAAATAACTAAATACTAAAT